CAGACTTCTCGGTAAAGACCGAAACAAAGAAGTCATTGAGCATCTCTGCCATTTCCAAGTTTCCTGTTACTGTTTCTCCCTCTTCACTAACCAGTGGGCCTACCTACCCTCTCCTTGGTCTACCTATTGCTTCTAATGTATTTATAAAACGTCTTCTTGTTTCCCTTTATTCCCGTAACCAGTTTGAGCTCATTCTGTGCCTTTGCCTTTGTAATCTTGCCCCTGCATTCCTGTGCTGTTTGTCTATATTCATCCTTTGTAATTTGTCCTACTTTCAGTTTTTTATATCGATTAACCGATAAGCAAAAGCTTATAGGTTAATGCTATAGACTACACACATTCTCCTCCTCCCCCCTCAGCTCCAGTAAGTTTTTTAGCAGGCTGGCCAGCAGTCCAGCTCAGTCCTGGCTTGAGCTGGGTCCAGGACCTACACTCGCTGTGGCTCTGCATTTAAAGTGTATTAAGAGCCAGGTGGGCAGGCAGCCTGGTTCGGGTTCATGCCAGGTTGGGAGCTCAGCCCCATTCCTGGACAGGGGCTGCTACTACCCTGTGCTGCTGCCTCTGTATCAGAGGCAGCAGCATGGGGCGACAGGCAGCCGGTCCACGAGGAGCGCTGATTTAAAATTGACTCCCCTTGTGGAATAGCTCCCACCTGGCACCCCACGCTGCTGCTTCTGATACACTAACTTCCAGCCCCACCCCCGGGGACTATAGAATAGTCGACTAACCAATAAGAATTCATGAGGTTAATCGACTATTCCGTTAACCGATATTTAACATCCCTAGTACTGACTTTGCTAGTGCTTTTTATGTAGCCTGTTGTGAAACCAGGCAAATATCTGGATGAGTTGATTTACATCCTGAAGGACCTTTGCATATCCCTGATGAAGACCTCTGCCCTAATAAATGGACACAACTAGGTGCAGGAGATGCAGTTTCTGTCCTGCAGGGACAGTTTAGCAGGGAGCAGGCGGGCAGTTTTTGGTTTTCGTGGTAGCAGAGATAGGAGCTCTGTATTTTGACAGTTCAGATTAACTGGAGACTTTCCCATGCAAACTCTGGAGCTTAACCAGGCTGTTTTCTGTTTGGGAATTGGGATGTCTATGATGTGACCTGTTTGTCTCTTGAAGAGTTTGGTTGTCTCCTCCTCTGCTGCCCGACTGTTGGTTGTGCTGTGCTTGAGTAACAGCTTTCTGGAAGCGGGGCTGATGGCCTGTTCATAATGGGCTTCTTTCCTTTTAGATGAGGACAGCTGGAGCGATGGAGAACAAGAACCTGTGACAGTGGATCAAACGTGGCGAGGGGACCCTGATAGTGAAGCTGAAAGCATTGACAGCGATCAGGAGGATCCTCTGAAGTAAGACCCATGGGGAATGCTTGTTAGTTGTATAGGATGGGGAGCTTGCTGCTACATTTAGATCCTTAAGTGACAGTTCTAGGAAGAGAAACAGCATCTTCAATAATGTTACAGCTAAACATTGCAAATGGTGTTTCTTGTCAGTGACCCCACGTGCTGATCTCCAAATAGGGTCAGGAATAAAATTCCTTCTGTGAGGTGTAGTTGAAAAGAAGCTGTTATTTCACAAAAAAGGCATCTAGTTTTAGCCTTTCTCAGAGAGTGGGTGCAGGGCTAGGTGGTCCTTAGTGGTCTGTTGTCCTCTGACCTTCTTTGAAGTCTGTGACGTCAATGCCATGCTCAGTATTCTGGAGGATGCAAAATAAAATCCTGCATTGCTCCAGTGTGACCAGATCAATCTTGTATATCTCTAGAATGTAACCACCTCCGCTCCCTGTCTGTAGATTCCTACGCACTGGGTTAGCTTGTAGATCTCACTTCTTGGTTAGATCGCTTCACTATCACAGGTGTGCTACTCTAGGCTACCTCTTGTGCTATTTCAAGGCTATTGGCAAGTGTTCTTAAAGCTCATGTTTTACAGACACGCTGGTGTGTACACAGCTGAGGAGGTGGCCTTGATCATGCGTGAGAAGCTGATCCGTTTGCAGTCATTGTACATAGACCAATTCAAACGACTCCAGCACCTCCTGAAAGAGAAGAAACGTCGATACTTGCACAGCCGCAAAGGAGAGCATGAAGCCATAGGCAAGTACTGGTCCAGAAAACTATAAGTCTGTATTCCTCTGGCCACAGGACACGGTACATGTATAATCCATACACTGACCTTTATTTCTTATGGGTGATTTCAGTTCTTCAGTGTATTAGTGTTGTCTGGTGGGCCTAGTGCTTGAAGATTGGTCTCATGGTGGGCATGAAAGTTGTCTGATTTCCTTGCTCTTTAACATTTGCAGTACTGTGAGGAGACAAGCCTGCAGAACCTGAACTCAGAGAGAAATTATTTTCTGTATGGGATTTCCTGGTTTGTTTTTTAATAAAATGTTAGGGTGTGCAAGTCTTTGTCTACACGAGAAAAGAATTCTGGCTGTATTGGCAAGTCTTCCTCATGTGTATGCAGTTTGTACAATAATGGTTTGATAGGTAAAATAAGCTATGCCAGTCAAAGATCTTCATGCTGGTATAACTGTTTACACTGCGGTTTAGGCCAGAATAGAAATGTTGCCAAAAATCATGCCCCAAATTTACATGCTGTATTGCAAAAGCTTCTCTTGTAGATTTGGCCTTGGTGTGGGGACTGAGGACTGGCAGAATGGCCTCCATCAGCAGAGAAAGCTTTAACCAATGCTGCAGCTTCCTCCGTCCGTGTTAGAAAGCCTTTCCTATGAATCCGGGGGAACCTCAATCCTTAGATGCTCCAAGCACAGGAAAAAAGGGGAGTGAGCATTAGTTAAAGCTTTCTCCATTGGGAAGATGATGTGTTAAATGTATGAGACAATTATTTCCTTGACTAGCGCCAGTCTCATTCCATCTTTATCCTCTGCTCCTTACGTTCCAGGCAGAAGGCACGCTCCAGTGCATGCACCCCTAAGTCCATGCCATGGCCTTATCTTTTCCTGGCAGACTTCTTCCAAACTTTGTTCAATTTCCCATGTATACACGGTCATACTTGTATAAAATACGTACAAAATTCATATGGATACAATTTTCATGCTTATCATTTACAAAAAGAAAATGGGAGAAGCAGAGGTGGCCATGGGGCATCCCAAGGTCTGCGGGAGAGGCACTGGCCTTCTGCTAACTTCCTGAGGTCTAGAAGATGATCTTGGGAGGCGGGTGTTTGCTTATAGTGCAGCTAGTGAAATGTTGCATCATGTAGCCAGATGTGCTGTAGAACCGCATGAAGAATACATTCAGTCTCATATATTTGCGAAAGTTTGTCTGTTCAAGAACTGCTCCTAAATGGTCAGAGCTAAGACCACAACATTTAATATACAGCTTCCTCTTATCATAGCTTAAAGCGAGGCAAGGGTTTGGTTATGCCAGGAAAATGGGATGTACCCAGAATGGGATGGATTGTTCCTCTCTCCTGTCATACAGAGAAAGAGACAGAATCACCAGGCAGGTGAAAGGGGCTGACTGAGGGCATTTCCCCCTCCCTCCCCATCCAGGACTGACCTAGCCCCGAACCTCCCACCCCCAGGTACCCTTTAAGGAGTGCCGGGGGCTGAAGCTTCCCCCCTCCACCCATCCCTGTTCCTACAGGGACATTGCTGGCTATTCCCCTTTGTCAGAGAGTGAAAGGAAGATGCAGAGTTTCCTGCATTCCTCGCTCTGGCTGGGGAGCGCAGGGGGCAGATGAACATGAACCTGTTCAGCCTGGGGACATGCACCGCTTCCCCGGCTGTGCCCCCTGGAGCTGCAGAGCCCATGGAGAGGCACTTCTCGCTTGGCCTCAAGCTGCTGCAGTGAGAGAGGGCTGAGGTAGTCCTCTCTCCCTGGGGAAGCCTGCATACTGAATCCCTCAGCCCCCATCCTGAAGCAATGATTTAAATGAATTGACTTGAGCAACGCTGGATGAATCTTCTAGTATTTTATAAAACATTTTATAAACCGATAACTTGATGGGAAAAGTCCCAGACAAACATTCAGGTAAATGCAAAGTTATGAACACTAACAGCACAACATTTGCACATAAATAAACTTTTAAAATAGCTCATGGAGTCAACTTTGGAATAATCTATAAAACAAGTCAAATTGTAATTCTAATTGTGGGAATTCCTATGCTAGAGTCCGAATACCAGTTTGACCCATCGGCAGTTTCCAGAAGGGAGGAGTCCTTTAAAAATGCTTACAGACTGCCTGATGTACCTAGAGATTCCTTTTGTGCTCCTTGCAGTAATAGGACGAGCTTACTGGAGGCTGCACTGTGCTGGTCAGATATTACCTACAGGCTTATTTCCTGCCCTAACTGCAGAACTAACCACCACCTGAATGTGGAGCTGTTCAGTACCACCCTAAGCAAGGAGTCAGCAGTTGAAGGCCCTCCATGGCTAGCTAAATGATCTGGCTCCCTGCATAGGAAATGGATCCCCGGTCTCATTCAGTAGTGAACGACGGAGTCCTTGCTACACAGAGGAGTGTTTAAGCTGATGCTGCTGTGGTTTGGGCAATGTTGTTTCAGGCCAGTTACCTTCTCTCTCTGTCTCCCAGGGAGCAGCCTTCTGACAGGCCCAGAGGGGCTTCTGGCCAAGGAGCGTGAGAACCTGAAGCGACTGAAGTGTCTCCGGCGTTATCGGCAGCGCTACGGCGTGGAGGCTCTCCTGCACCGCCAGCTGAAGGAACGTCGGATGTTGGCAACCGAGGGTGCGGCCCAACAGGTACTTCGTGCTGTCGACACAAGCAGGGAATTAAATCTCAGGCCTGTGTGAGTTTCAGATTCACTTAGCTCCCAGGTTTCCTCTCCCTCCCCTTCTCGTGGGGATCATTCCAGCAAGTTCCATGTGTTTCCAGTCCTACCAGATTTTCCATTGTAAAGCCCTGTCTCTAGGGACGTGTACGTCAGCCATAAATACTTACTCCTGGCAGATGCTTGCTTGATATATGGTACTTCAGCCATTGAGTGTGGAGTTCTGTGGAGCTGCTTCTATTAAAAGGACAGAAGCAGTTATTATGTAGGCCCAACATGCCGATCTGGAGAATGTTTCCTTTTAAAGAAAGGGGTGGAGAGCAAGAGACTAATAGGAGTAGAGATACGTTTTCATCATTTGTCATTCAATGGAAATTCTTTTTTTGGTGGAGCAGGGAGAGTTAAGCATTGGGCACCCAAATGTTGCCACCTTGTGTTGTGCAGAAGAAACCAAAATTGAAATTTGACTGAAGCAGTTGTTTCTGTACCACTGTTTGAGAGAGAGCCTGCCACCTAAATGTTAGCATGAAATTAGAGGAAAAGAATGGGACTGATTTTAAACTTCTTTGGGCCTTTCCATAATGACACCTCTCCCCCCCAAAAAAAGCAATCTGAGAAGGGCATGCTGGTTTCCAACTCTCAGGTTGAGAATCTGCTGTAAGGCAAGAAATTTCAGTACATGCTTAGAAATTGCCAGCTGCCTCCGCATTTGAATTCTTTCTGACAACCATGTCAACACAAAGCTTATATCCTGCTCTGCTAGCTGAGTGTATAAGTCCCATCAAGTGGCAGGTCTCTCTTCAGTCAGCAGCGGGGTGGTCCTTCTGCGTGGCTCTAACCTGTTCTCTTGGGCTCCTTCGCAGGCACACACTACTCGTTCCAGCCAGCGGTGCTTGGCCTTTGTCGATGACATTCGATGTTCCAGTCAGTCTCTCCCGATGACCAGACACTGCCTCACGCGTATCCTTTTATCCTCCCAGCTGTAGAGACTTTACTCCAGCAGCATGATGGATACCGGGGTGACTGCTGTTTTGATCCTTGTTTCTGTTGGCCCTGAATGAAGGCCATTGGCTTGCTGTAGCTATTGGTTTCAAGCAGGAGCCCAAAGAAATGCCTTCCTGTGGTCTGTTGGCTGTTCTAGTGTCTCTAAAGGGAACAGCCAATTCAGTGAGAAGCAACAAGCGAAGTATAGGTTACAAGGCAGCTACAGGCTAACTTCCATCTGTGTTACACTAAGATGGAAGTAAATTGCTCTTAAATGCATATAATGTACTCCTTGAAGAATCCGGGCTGTAGATCAGGGGTGGGGAATTGCAGGCCTGGGGGCTGGATGAAGCCTGGATCTAGCCCCTGAGACTTAAGCCCTCCCCCACCCAGCGTTGGGGAGCCCATGCTGGTGCTCCAGCGCACAAAGTCTACCAGGCTGGGGCCCCTTAGGCTCTGGTGTGCAAGGGGAGTGTATTTCTCCTCAGTCAGGGGCCACAGAGAGGGATTTTTCCCTGCTTCTCACTTGTGTGTGTCCCCTGACTGATTTTTCTGTGGGTCAGTGGCTCCCAACCCAGTAAAGTTCCCCACCCCTGCTGTAGATACTGATAAACATCTAGATCAAGGAAGTATTGGGTGGAGCCTTTTGTGATTTAAGAATAAAGCTTAGTGCCACTAGGAATTGTCACGGGTCCCTAGATCTGCCCTATTTTATTTAGAGTCACTGAAGGGTACTACAGGACGTCCCCGCTATAAGTTGCCCCGGTATATGTCCATTCTGCACTGAAGTTGTTGACACATGTAGGAATTGATGCATTATAAGTCCTCCCATTCTCTGCTCTTAAGTCGCGCATCCCCCCCTCCCCCCCCACACACACAATTTGTGCAAATTGAAGTCAGCCACAGGAAAAAATTCCCTGCTTTAAGTTGTTTCACTGCAAGTCCAAATTTTCTGGAATGTATCTTGGACTTTCAGCGAGGATTGCTTGTATTTATTTAGGTGCACTTCTGCACTGAACAGAGAGTCTCATACTGTCTCCATGGCATGTTTGTCAGTGACGTCAGAGCAAGCGTGCTTGGCTTGCAGATAAAATAGTGGGCCAGCCCCCCGATTCTCACTGGATTCTTTCCAGCTCCTACATCCCCATAGTAATAAGCCATGTTCTGCCTCCAGTTACACACATCCAGCCCCTGTTGTCTGTAAGGGTTCACACTGATACAACTAGAGGTGGAATTTGGTGCTGCATTCAGAGCTCAGTTTTAACTGTTGTTGATGTGACTCAAAGTAAATTCCATCTTCCTCTACCAGAGTCAAGTTGTCTGAGTAAAGCTGGCAGCAGAGGAAATTATGAAGTTTAGTAACAAAACAAAGTCAGCAGACCTGAGTCCGAAAGCACACAGGGAACAGATGTGGGGCAGGAAATGGCCATTGTTTCTGCACAGTCCCTGTGCATGTAAAATAAAACTGGGTTAAATACCCTTAAATGGCTTAACCCAGGAGACATTTGCAGCTGGCTTGTTTAGCATAGTGCAGGCAATGAATGGATTGTATAAAACATGTCTTCTCTTATGTCTGATTCATGTCTCTTTACTGACACACATAAGATTTTACTTTGGCCAGACCTGCTGAGCTGATAGTTGTAGGAGAACCATCTGTAATCTATTCTGTTCCGTGCATTGTTGCTAGACTCCTCAGCTCTGTTTGATTTTCAGGAAACTAGATTGTTGGTGATACATGAAACAGACAGAACCCAGCTGGATTCTTCTGTTCCAGGTGTCATTGGTGAGTTTGATAAATCATGTTCTGACCTCTAAACTAAACACTTGAGCTGGAGTCACTGGGAGAGATGAAAATCTGGAGCCCTGCCCTGCTGTTTATACGGAGCCTATTTTCTGACAGTGTCCACCCTTGAGCATCTGATAAACCTAGACTCTTCTGGTGTAGGCTCAGTGCATATTCTCTTAGTTTGAATTACTAGCTTTTTAAATCTGTTCCAGAATCTTATTGGTGTATTAAGAGATTTCTTTGGGGGGGGGAGGGGGATTTTAAAAACAAAAATGAGTTAAAAGCTGTTTTGGGTCCTTTGCCTGCGTTGGAGTTCCCTGCCGGTTTGTGCTTTTACAATCACTCTGTTTTTAATATTTTTCTTGCAGTTGTTGCCTTGCATAACAAGGGAAGTTATGTAAGTAACTCTGCACAAAGATCTAGTAACTAGTTATTTTTGTGTGCCTTTACTTTTTGTGGATGAGTCTGATTTGAGACACCTTAACTGAGCCTGATTTCTCCAAGCATGCTGAGCACCCAGTCTCTGAAAAAACAGTTAAGTGCCTAAGTCACTAGTCGTTTGGGTTGGAGCACTGTCATTTGCAAAGTGAACAAATAGGGGGAAACTTTGCAAATTTTTCAGGTACAGTAATCTCAGGAGTTCTTTGTAACGGTAATTGGCCACAAGTTACTCATGAAATTTAAATTTGGCAGGATTGCTTTAAGTGGTCTTGAAACAGGAAATCAGTCTGTCGTCTTCAGCAGGGGATTGTTCTTCTTGTTTCGATAGTGAGCAAGTGGCAGTCTCCAGTGACTGTTTGCTGCTGGATAGCCTTAGAATTGGGCTGCATTGGAGCTCTGTTCTGTTTTGATGAAAAGCAGTAAATCCCATTTACGTTATTGTCAGGAATAATTTTTCCTCTGGGCACTTTTAGGTACAAAAGGGATGAAAATTCAGAACTAAATTCCTAGATTTGGAAAAAGCTGTGTGCGCATCGGTATAAATATTGAGCTCTGTTGCATATTAAATGTTAGAAGATTGTGCAGATACTTACGAATGTTTGTGCAGATACTTACAATTTATCTGCAGTCACACACTATATTGCTTTTCTAACATTGTCCATCTGAGGATTTGGGTGGAAGTGCTTTACAAGCACTTAGCTAAGCCTCACAACCTCCTCTCCTTCCCACAAAGGCTACCAATGATATCCCCATTTTACAGCTGGGCCATGCACACTTGGACATGCTCACAGAGCAGTTCAGCACTAGATCCCTGGTCTCTTGAGTCTATGCTTTGGCTTCTGCTTTGTGTCCCAGGATGGACACCTTTTGGTAGCTGGTTTCTCTGCCAGACTCTGTATGTTCCCCTTGACTGCATCTTCTCAGATATTTGTCAGGATGCCAACCAGACTTTGTTTAAGCTGTGCCCAGGGTTAGAAGAAGTGCCCTGCAACAAGCCGGTTCCTGTAAGCCTTTCTGAGAATCCCTGCTGTCCGCTCCATCTCCAACTGCCGCCTCCCATGTATGTACCTGAGCAGGTGCTGGCTGTTCCTGAGGAGCTGGGCGCTGCCTCTACGGATCTGTACTTGAGCACTGCTGAGCTCCAGCCCACAGAGAGCTTACCCCTGGAGTTCAGCGACGTAAGTTGGAGCAGCCGTGTGGTATGCTGTAGTGCGGTGTGCAGGCGTGATCTCCAGCACTGCCAGTGAATAGAGAGGAGCATAGCTGTCACTGTGTATGCTAAAGGCATGGTAAAATCTCAGGAGGGGCGGGGGGTTAAGGAGATATAAAGCCACAGATCCCATTGCCTTTGCAAAGCACGTTACCAGATGTCACTGAAAAGCCGTGGTCTGCATGACATTAGAGTGTCTGGGTAGCTAAGGCAAGAACCCTGGGCAGGATCTCTAGTTTTGAGGGGATTCCTGAAAGGTTGGGACTCTCACCATAGTACCTAGTGTTGTGTTACCTCTGGTGGTGCTGCTCATGGGAGATGCAACAAGCAGGCACAGTGCTGTGAGCTGTGGCTAGAGATTAAGCATCACCCACCACTTGCCTAGGGTGATAAGGTAGCAAGTATGAAAAATCGGGCCCAGAGGGGTACAATAGGCACCTATCTAAGACAAAGCCCCCAGTATTGGGATAGTCCTGATAATATTGGGACATCTGGTCAACTTGCCCGTTGCTGGTATCTCTGTTGAGTCCTTGGTTTTGTTTCTAATCATTGAAGAAAAAGCCATCCTATGTGAGGAGTGAGAATTCAGAGGGTTTGGGAAATGTTTGTTTTGATAGGTTTTAACCCGATTGCTCCTTTGGAACTGGTGGTCTATTTAAAGCTGTACTTAGGGGCTTTTTTTAAAAGCGGCTTTTTGTGTCCATCCCATAAAAGGACGCACAAGGATTTTAATCCGTGGATTACAGAGATGTCCTGCATGTGGGTTAAGCTGCTATCTCGAAAAATCATAATGAAATGTATTTAAAGAAAAATATTGCAGGTGCACTATCTTCTGAATGAGAAGCAGCCATGCTTTCTAAATTAGATATTGCCAAACTCCTGCACTCGTTATCCCGAAGCAGACTTTTAGAATCACTTAAAAATAGCCAAACAGGAATGCTGAGAGCGCCTTTTTAACCCTAGGGCCCCTAGAAGCCATTGCATTCACATAGGAGACGGTGCCACTGATCTAGCAACCTGAAAGCCCCAGTACTGAAGCTGCTCCTTAGGAATCTAGATCAGCTGTGGAGATGCTTTTTCACAGACTTGCGTGAGCCTTGGGTCAGGGCGTCCATTTTCTTTGCCCCGGGGTTTAAATGTTCGCATGGTGGAAATGGCCTGCTGCTGTGTGTTTGTGGGAGGAATTTTCTCAGATCAGAAATGTGCTGGAGCTGGAGACGTGTCTGTTCTCATGGCCTGTGCAGGACATGAATGGTTGGTCAGACAGGAATTTGGGAGCTGTGTGAGCTGGGCATGACCACTGACTGGAAAGGAGCGGACAGGTTTGGCGTGTGTGACTTCTCCAGGCTGTTGGGTCTGTCTTGCTAGAGGTGCAAGTGATCCAGGACCTGGCGTTCCTCTGGCTGGAATTCCTTCTGCCATAGGGATCCATGAGGGAATCTCTCCATGCTCTTGCTTGAGGATTCAGAGCTTTGTCAGCATCTAGAGCCCCTCTGCGTTTTATCTAGTGTAAGGCAGACATTTCACCCTCCAAAGCCAAAGCAAATACCCTCCCTGAACAGCCTCTGACCAATCTCGTCTTCTCACGGCAACATTATCGGCAGCACATCCAGCAGACAGAGCAGCAGTGTATCTGCGAGCAGGGCAGGGTGGAGGAACAAAACAGAGGCGGCTGTGGCAAGGCTTTGCAATAGTGCCTGTCCAAGCACCCAGACAGGGCTCTGCTGGAATGTGCTAATCTGGGTGGGGCCCACGAGGCTCCTGAGAGATTGAAATGAGATCCTCCCTCATTTCCTACAATAACCTACTGCCCCCGCACGTTATTTGTGTGTGTTCGCCCCTTCCTGGTCATCCAGTTTCCAGGGCGATGGTAGGTCATGCAGAGCTACAGATCTCAGGGTCCTCAGACTTGTCTTCAGTGGAAGTTCAGCATTGCCACCCCGACTGAAAAGCTGCTAGGGCAAGGCAGATTTCTGTCCTGGCTCCAGCAGGCCGCACCCAACATACCAAACTCTTGGTTATCAGATAAGTGTGAAGCCCCAGACAGGCTGGTTTCTTTTTGCACTAGTGTGGTTTGAGAGAAGAGAGAAACTGATCTGATGGTGAGTCTGGATTTCCTGGTGTTCCAGTGCGTAGGACAGGGCTGAATTGTGTTGGTATGGGGCATTCAGGGGGAAGCTTATCCTACCACTGTCTTTGCTGCCCTGTGGTCACAGGATTTGGTCTTCATAGCCAACAGTCCTTACCTTCCACCCCTAAAGGCCCCTAATAATGTGGCCAATTTGGGAAGAAGATCTGGAGGAGCTGAAATGGGGTTGTCCCTGCATCCCCTGCCCCCCATGTGAAACTGGTTTCTAGCAGCCTGATGGACTTAGGAACTGCTTCAGATAGTATCAGGGATTGCCTGATCTCTGCCAGCAAAGCTGCTCCCTTTGGATTCTCCAAGGAATTTCAGACTTGCTGATCCCCTACAGTGGCGTTCTGGGTGCCTAGCCCTTGCAAAATCAGGCCCATGGTCTTTGCTCTATGATATAAATGGGTAATATAGAGAGGGGGCCCAAATCTCGACTCTGTAGTCCACTGAGCCCCTTGAAGCCTGCTGGTGGATGTTTTCTCTTGCAGGATTTAGACGTGGTGGGAGATGGCATGCAGTGTCCCCCTTCCCCTCTGCTCTTTGACGCCTCCAGGGCCCTGGAAAATCAATCCATCAAAGATGTTGCTGAGGCTGCTGTAAACATACTGGCCCATGAAGAACCTCCTCAGCCAGGCATCCCGCCCCAGGTGACCCAGCCGGACAGAGGGAGCTCTTCTGGCCATGCCATCATGGCAACCGCGGGGTCTCATGCAGAGCCACCTTCCCAGGTACAGAACTGAGGGAATGTGCCTGGGGCTTCCAGCCAGGAAGCCGTAGCCGTAAAGCTCCTGATCTGGGCAGTGTTTCATCTCCAGAGCTCCGTAGTGAGTTAGATCAAGGCACCCAGCAGGTTTCTCCCCTTTTACAAGCTGCTGGGGCAGCTCTCCTGTGCAGTTGCTCCATGCTGTCGCTCTCTTGTGGAAAGCCTTGGCCTCACGCAGCCCAGCCATACTCTGCCCTTGTGTGGATGATTGCCTGTTTCCAGCCATTAGCTGATTGCTTGCAAGGTCAGGAAGGAACATTTTCTCTGCATGCCTCCCGGCACAGCAAGCCAGTATGCTATTTGTATGTGTGTTGGGGGGGGGTGGGGGAGCAGACAGGATACATCTCTGTGAGGCATTGGGGTGTGGTCTACACTGGAGGCCTGGAACCAGGCCAGTGGCCTGAGCTGCAGGAAGTCCTGTTCTCATGTAGTGATTCCAAAGGCACATTTACTCCATTTCTATCCTGTCTCATTTCTACCCTGCTCCTAGGCCTCTCAACCCACCTTCCCCCTGTGGCACCTGGCTCAGACACCTAGCTTATCCAGGCAATTGCTATGGGGTTGGCCTTTTCTCTAGAGGTGGCCCCAGCCTTTTTCCCTTCCCTCAGATTACTGAGGAGGGCTGGATGCTGCTGTTTCAACAGCTGAAAGGACTCTCCGGAGGGTGGTAACTTTCCCCTTCTTTCAGAAGCTGAGAAGGCTGCTCCCAGCTTTTCCCAGCCTGGAGAGCCAGGGCCTACGCTTGGGATTTCCACTGGCAGTTCTGACGGGCACCAGCAGCAGGCTCTGAATCAAGGCCATTGGCTTGCAGTAGCCGTTGGTTTCAAGCAGGAGCCCAGAGGAATACCTTCCCATGGTCTGTTGGCCGTTCCAGAGTCTCTTGAAGGGAACGGCCAATTCACTTGGAAGTAACAGTCTGCAAAGGAGGTCCCCCTCAGGCATGGGGCGGAGGTACAGGATTGGAATGGCTCTGGAGGTCCCATCCTACTCTGGCCCACAGCTGTTCTGGGTGCCGTATCTCACGGCTTCTCTACTGAATGTTGCTCACACATGTGGGAAATCCTGCTTGGAACCGGGAGCCAGGCCCTGGAATTGTGATTGTATTTTCTGTCTTTAACAGAGTCACCTGCAGACTGGGGTGGGCAGGCCTGGACCAGAGGAAGACAGGAAGCTAGCAAAAACTACAGCCTCTGCCCGGCCCCATGGAACACTGGCAGCAGCCAATGGGAATCCAGAACCAGCCTCCATCAGCTGATAAGATCTTGGATTGGGAACCGATACTTCTGAAATCTTTTTCTTGATTGCAGTCTTGACTGCCCTCAGATGGACCTGAGTGTGAAATACATGTGGTTGTTAGAATGTGGTAACGCGACACTTCACTGCACTTCTAACGTTGGTTCCCCTTTCCACTAGAGAATTGCCACCAGAGCAGTGGAACCGGGGAAGGGTGAAATGTCTGGCCAGAAGCTCATATGACAGGTTCCAGTTGGTTGCTCTCCTGTCAGACCCTCCCCCTCTCATTCAGTTCTGGTTCCTTTCGGCCAAGCCTGCCAAAAGCACAGCTCATTAGTGAGAGTGTCATTCCCAGTCAGGGGAGAAGAGACATAGAAGGGGCTCACTGGCTTGTAGGATATGCGCTCGGCGAAGTTGTGATGTATCCATGGAGAGGGGTAAACGTGTCCCACTGAAAGAGATTTTCCAGGTAGAGACTGAACGTTCTGTGTAGTCAGCCTGTCAGGGATGCATGTGCTAGGCAGAGGGTTGGCTTGTTCACGCTGTAGCACCATGTACTAAAGCAAGAGGCTGTTCTAAATGTATCCAATTCTGGTGTGCAATGGCTGGCATTCCTCTGGCATTGTAAGCCTGAAATTCCACTCCTGAGCCTTGCGTTAGCTGATGTACCAGCCCCGTGGGGTGCTGAGCGTGTGTCAAACCATGTATAAATGTGCTGTACACATTTTCCAGTTTGTAACAGAACAGGAGAAATTCCCACCTAAAAAAAAAAAAAAAAGCAACAAAAAATCCAGATAATAAAGAAATCAGAAGAAAATAATTGTCCATGGTCCAGGGGGTTTGTCATCTCCTGCCTCTGCTGCCACCCAGTGCACTGAGATCCTCTTGTTCGAGGAGAGAGGTGCTCTCACTTGTAACGCTGTCTGGAATTAGAGGCCTTGTTGAAATGTGGCTGGTGAGGAAGTTGATCCTTTGAGCATTGAGGAAAAGCACAACTCCCCTGCGCTCGGAGGCTGTGTATGTACGCCGGAGCATGAAGTCTTAAGAGCAGATGTGCCTGCAATCCAGGGCAGCTACCACTAGTCTAGGAGCCTGCTCCTTGGTTACATTCCGTGTGCATAAAAAATCTTGGGGGGTGGGGAATGAAGCACCCTCTGCCTGGAGAAGTTGCAGCTTTACCAGGGGTTTTCTTGGCCCCTGTGTAACTTGAGAACGGCCAAACGAGAGAGACTGCAAGGGCATGTCATCCTGTGTCAGGACCGTGGGATGGGGGCCTCTGGGGAGAATGTGGAATGAAAACCATGTGGCCACAAACCTCCTGAGTCTTGCCATGTCCAGCAAAAATACATGTTCATGTTTCACTCCCTTATGTTCGGTCCCTCCTGCAAGGTTAAACTCCAAAACATTCGCTGCTGCTATGTGGTTTGGTGAAAGCGGCGCCTGCGTAGCCCAGCTGCAGGGCAGGGGCTGCCAGTCTTTCCCATTACAAATCGACTATTTTTAGGGCTTCATAGCTCTGCACCCAAGGCCTTGGCCTGGGAGCCAGGGCTGGAGTTTTCTGTGGTGTTCAACCACACAAGCAACTCTTCAGTTAGAGGAATGATAAGGTTCAGCCTCTTCCAGGATTTGATTTGTATTTATTGAATTGCTGCTTCTAGCAGTCCCAAAGCCCGGTGGCAGGCCGTCCCGTTCTGCTAACCATGCTTGACTGGGTTTTACAGCTTAGTATCTACGCTTGCCCGTTCCTGCAAACAGCCCAGCCATAGTGCAGCCCGGGTCCTGCCACTGGTGTCAAAGCCCCCAGTGATGTGAGAGAAAGCGGAAGTGAGCCCTGTGCAAAAGGACAAGGATGCTGCATGCAACCCAGACTCAGGCCTGCATCTTGCAAGCCTCTGGGGCAGGGCCTGCTTGGTGATGCATGCTCCACCCCTCGTTTCGGTGGGAGCAGTCCTGGCTCTGTCCGATCAGAAGGCTGGGGCTGGCTTGTTGCCCTGGTGGCGACGTGCAAAGGGAGCTTGACTTTCCCGAGGTTCAGGCATTTAAGCTTTGCCTCTCTTTTGGGGTTTTTCTTTTCCTCCTCTCTCCCTTCCCCTGCTGTGCTCACCCTGTGCCCAGTACTGAGCACAGATCTGGCAGCCCCCGTCCGTTGTAATCACTCTGTGGATGTTGTTTTCTAACCTTTCCCAATGCTTGGGGGTAGGGATGTAAAATCCCGGTTAATCACTCTCTTTAACCAGTTAACTGATGCAACGGTGGGCAGAGCAGGAGTTGCTGGGGCAGAGCTAGTCCAGCTAGCCTGAAGCGTCTGTAGCCCCACCCCTGCAGCAGATCCCCCCCAGGGGAAGCAGGGAGCTGCTCCAGCCTGCTGGGTAACCGTAACCTGGAAGCATTCACCCAGTAAAGATGCTTACTGGTTAACCATTCACATTCTGATGGGGAGGCAGGGGGAATCCATTTGCTTACTGTTGACATGATACTGTTCCTGGCCTTGCAAACGGACAAGGTACTTTGCTCCATGGGCCTGCCACAGCATTTCACTGGACCCCCCAGGAGTGGTGTGTTGGGAGGGAAGGTGCCTGAGGGTAGGATGTACAGAGGCGGGGAGTGGGGGCTGCTGGCCTGACACAATCTTACAGGGTGCCCAGCAACCCTTTGTGCTTTATGTCCCTGAGAGGGCACCAGCCGCATGATGTTTATAGGCAGCTGCTGAATCTAGGTGACTCGGTTTCCCTGCGCAGGGAGCAAAGGAAGGATTTGACCCGTGGCTCAGAGCTGGGGCTGGCACCCAGGGGTCCTGATTCCTGCTCTGCACCCAGCCCAGTTCCACAGCTGTCCCTGCCCCTCATCAGCCAGGAGCTGTTAGAGAGAGCATGGAGTCCAGCAGGAGCGGGGCATGGTTGGTGGAGCAGGCTGTGGAAGGGAGGTGGCTGAGCTGCCTGGGGAGGAAGCAGGGCAAGTGGTGGTCCTGGGTGTGTGGGATGAAGTGCCTGCCTGGCATGTCTCACTCCTGGTGGAGGCTCCAGCCACCCTGTTGCGTGAGCTTTGCAGCCAGGGGTTCAGTCTCCCAGCACCATGTGAACAAGGGGAGGCTGTTTCGGGACCTTCCACCTTGATTTCAGAGAGCTCTGTGTATGCAAAGGCCTGACGGTCCAGGGTCTCCCAGCATTGAAATGCAGCCACCTCTGGGACGGAATGTGGCAGCTGTTCAACAGCACGAGGCCACGAGGGAAGGGAAACAGCATGTGGGTGAAGGGGGAGCCAGAATGTCGCTGCCCAAATGAGACTTGGGCTGGTTCCTGGAGCTAGCTCCTCCAACAGCCCCATTGGGTTGCGACTGTAGGGCAGACTCATGGCACCTTCTCCATCCCAGAGTCATGGAGCCGGGGCTGGTCTTGGGCATGCTGGACCTGCCCCGCTCCCTCCAACAGCAACCACTGCTCAGCACTGCCCCACTCCTGGGCTGCCTCAGCTTGTGGAATGGGCACCTCTCTTCCCTAGAGGGCAGAATGCCAGCCCTGAACCACAGGGCCTGCTGCAGCCCAGGCCTCTCTGCCTGAGGCCTTCCCCCCCTCTGGCTTCCAGTAAAACAGGCTTTCTTGCGGGGACAGAGGGTTGCAGATTTTGGGCTGCGCTATGTGGTGCGGGCACCTCTGTGCCAGCTCACTGGCGGGGACAAGCCAGCTGTAGGAAATCTGCCAACACCCGGGCACGGGGGCTCCCAGAGCCCGGTGGTGGGGAAGGAGAGCTGGCAGAGCAGGGAGGATTACAGGAATGGCTGTGTGGGGTACCTGCCAGGATCCTGGCCTGCTCTTCCTGCTGTACCTGGCAAAGGGGAGACCTGAGACAGAGGCGTTGTCCAGGGGCGCCCCAGCCGGTTTCCTTTGCTGGGCTTTGTGCGGCTGGCTCCGCTCGTGGGGCTGAGAGGGGCACAGCTACCAGAGAGCCACATTAGGCAGCCAGGTTTGGTTGGGGCATAGTGGAGGCAGGGGAGCCATTAAGAGCTGGTCTCCTTTCCAAGCACCACAGGCCCATGGCCAGCGGGCAGGGAACATGCAGAAATGTCTGATCCGTGGGGGCGGGGGAGAGGAGCCCCAGGCAGCAGCAGGCTGGTGCCCCTGGCTGGAATCACGCAGGGTGGCAGAGGGAGACGCAGTGGAGTGATGGAGCCGTGGGGGTGGGCACGGTCCTGCTGCGCTTTGGTCTCCAAGCTAGCACGGTTGGGGGCCTTGGTGAACAGCCACCTCTGGGGCCGAGTGTCCCCAAAGCCTCCTCTGCCCCACGGCTGGGCGCTGGCCTCGCGGCGGGCCGCGCGGCAC